CGCCCCCCGCCGAGGCGGAACTGGCGGCAGTCTTTGCGGACGACGAGGCGGCTGAGCTTGTAGTAGCCCGCGTGCTTCGTGCAGCGGATGGTGCCGGCAGGCTCGAGCGAGGGCACGAGGCGCAGCAGGATGTGCGTCGCCTTCGCGTCGAGGCTGCGGGCAGGCGTCGGCGGGGGCTAGGCAGCGGGAGAGAGAAAGAGGGAGAGAGCACGGACTCATCGAACTCGGTGTCGAGCGGGAAGTGCTGCTCGTCGACGAAGACGCGGACGCGGAGGTCGAAGCAGTGCTGGAGGAGGGCGTCGCGGCCGGGCTCGCCGAGGGCGGGGACGACGAGCAGCTCGTGGGGCGGGGCGGGCATGGCGAGGGCAAAGGCTGATGGTGGCGATGATCCGCGGCCGAGGCGGGTGCGGTGGGCTGCTATGGGCGCGCACGGTCACAAACACGGCGGGACACCGTCACGCGCACGTCACGCAGCGTGATGCTCCGTCACGTGTCCGCCAGGCTCAACTACGTTGCCTGCGAAATTCTGCACGCTCGTGCATGTTGCCGTCCTCCTCGTCGTCGCTGTTCTCCACGTCCTGTGTCTCCAGGTATGCCGTCCGCTTGCCCGTGTGTCCACACGCCCTCATTCTCACATCCCCAGGCTTCCGGAAAATACTCGTCTAGGCGGGTTCTGTAATGCTGGAGCCTTTGGCCGCCACCGCGCTCAACTCCCTCCTTTCCGGACGACCCTTCACAGGACACTATCCCACCGCTCGTTCTGCACTCAGAATGGCGACACGGGCCATGCCCTCAACGTTCCCACACGACTTCTTCACCCCCCACCCGAGACGTGTAAAAGGGAAGGAGAGGGCCGTGCCGGGCCATGACGTCCAGCATCACAGGTGCACGACCGCTCCGGACGCCGCTGTTCGTTCTGTGCCATTACCAGGTGCGCTTTATCTCCCTCCCCATTCACTTTGACTCTCATCATCATCACTCCTGCCCGCAACCGTTGCAGGCGCGAGGCCTGTCCCTGTGCTACGTGACCTCTCAGGCCGCCATCGCGCGCGACGTTTATCCGGCCGAAAGTGGATGCATGCTCCCGTTCGCACCGACGCTCCTTCGCTTCACAATCTCGCAGCGAAACATGCCGACGTGGCGCAGAGGCGACATGCTTCCAGTCTTCCCGAAGCCACCGCCTCATCTTCCTCCCCAGCTGTATTGCACCTGGATCAATGGCGGCACCAGATAACAAACTATAGCTCAGGGGCCGTGGGACCCCGCCCAGAACAAGTCTGGGACGCATTTGAATCTCTATATGGACGTGACGAGTGCGCGTCTATCGACGTCCGTCAACTCTTGGACTTCGGGGTCCGGCTCGTTGGCGACGTCCAAAGCATGCGTTTTGATGACCAGTCTTCAGAGCTGCTGTTGCTGTGGGGAACTCGTTTGCAGACCCTCCTGGATTGTGTCTCGCCTCGAATCAAGGACCATGCGGGCGACGCTCCCCTCCTCGCAACTACTCTTCGTCTGCGGGCTCTGACCGTCAGCGCAGCGGCGATGACGGAAGACGTCAACGGTGCCGTCGACGGCCTTCGTGAAATCATGTCAGAGCAGGTTGGGCCTGAGTACACCGCCCTAGTCGCGCAGATGTACACCGCCGTTATTCTCTCAGTGCATCAGTACCGCCAGTCCATCGATGTGCTCTATTTTCTCGTCGAAGAGTGGGGTCGCATAGGCACATACCTTAGGCGGAGACGTTTCATGTGGGAAGACGAAGAGGTACCCCTTCCGCATATGCGCACATTCAAACAACATGCATATAGCATTGTGTCGCGGATAGAGAAGCCCGTCGCGTTCATGCTCAGTGTCCAGGACGTACTGACGCAGGAGCAGCGGCAGACAGCAGGAGAGTTTCTCATCGATGTGCTGTGTGAGGCCAACATGGGCAATGATGCTCTTGACGTCCTCGAGATCATGCAGCAACAGTCTTTCCGTATCAAGATCGAGCTGCAGCTAGAGATCGTTTGGGCTTTAGCAAAAGGGAGCTCCTTCGAACTTGCTAACATGCTGTTCATGTCTATATCGCGATTGGTGGGTACCGGTCCCTTATTTACCGCACACCAAAAGCTCGGTCTGTTTCTCTTCGCCCGGCAAGGCGATGTCCCAAGGGCTGAAGAATATTTTAACCGTCTCGTTCAGCGACATCAGGCTAATAGCAGGTCGATAACCCTGGTGATGCACGCACATGCAGTCAAGGGAGATACGGACCGTGTCGTCGAGCTCTTCCACCACTTCTTTCCGCCCGCAAGCCCGAGCAAGCCTGAACCGCGCTCTCCCAACCTCTTTCACTATACCGTTGTTATCTACGCGTTTTCCCGGAATGGAGACCTCAGTGGCATGAACCAGTGGTTGGAAAAGATGACACAGGCTGGGATCAAGCCAGATACCCACGTCTATACCATCATCCTGCAAAGCTTCGCTGAGCGTGGAGATATGGCGCACATCGCTGACCTCCTCAATCAAATGCATGCGGTTGGACTCCCACCAACTCGGCACGCCTATACCACGATCCTTGGTCTGCTTGCTCGACGTCGCGATCCTGTCGCCGCGGAGGAGATCTACAAGCGGGCGTTGACAGAAGGGGTGGTCCCCGACCGTAGGATGCTCACCGCGCTGATGAACGCTTATGTAGAATCTGGCCAATGGGCCGGCGTAATTCGTGCATTTGATTATATCCACTCCTCCGCTCACCGCGGTATTCGCCTCTCGCTTGAAATCTACAACACGCTGTTGAAGGCCTACGTTTACATCGGTGCACCTTTCCGCGTCGTCGCGAGCCTTTTCCAGAAGCTTGAAGACGCACGGGTTCGTCCAGATGCTCACACGTTCGCTCTGCTCATTCAGTCTGCTTGCGATTCTGACCTTCTCGAGATTGCTGCGGAGCTCTTCGCAGAGATGGAGAGGTTGGCGGAGAACTGGCAGTCCCATCTTCACATCAACACCTATGTCATGACCATTCTCATGTCCGGCTATCTACGCCGGGGACAGCGGGGCAGGGCGAAGGCCGTTCTCGACGCAATGCGGAAGCGCGGCATCCAGCCCACCGCGCACACTTACAGCGCCATCATGCAAGCGTACAGCAAAGAGAGAACTGGTGCTGGTGTGCAGGTGGCGGAGGAGTTTTTGCAGTCACTCCTCAACGGGCCGAGCTCGAATCAGGCGTGGATGAAGTCTAGCGGAAATCGGGTCACGGCCCTCGAGGCGGTATTCGCGCCGCTCCTCGTCGCATATACCGAACGCAGACGGCCGGAACAAGTGGAGCGATTGTATCAGGAGATGCTAGCGGCGGGCGGCGAGCCCACCATCGGCACGCTCACCGCGTTGATGGACGCACACCGCAAGACAGGCAGCATCAAGCCGGTCCTCGAGATCTGGCCGCGTATATACGAGCTCGCACTTCGGTATACTCAGTCCAACGCGCTCTTCGAGGGCATGGACGCGCAGACGAAGCCTGATCTGCGCGGACACAGCACGATCATGTGTGTACCGCTATCCATCGTCACCGACGCACTCTCGGCAGCTGGGCTCCACGGAGAAGTCGCGAAGATTTGGGGTCAGCTCAGCGAGGCCAGGTTGGCATTCGACTCGCACAATTGGAATCATCTTGTCGTCGCGCTAGTCCGTGCCGGGGAACCCGAGCGCGCCTTTGACGTAGTGGAGAAAGTGATCTTACCGCACAAAGCTAGGGCTCACCAGAGGCTGTCATACAAGCGGGACCAGGCTCCCCCTTCCCCTGTTCTAGACGTGCCCGTTGACATTTTAGAAGACGAACTTCCCCGCGCGCAGGCGGAGTTTCCAGGGCACAGTCGGGCGCGCCGGGTTATCGCGTCTAAGACAGCAACGAAGAAATTCAAGCCCACGTTGGACGAGGGCAAGCCGAACGACTTTGCGCATGCACTGCACGTTCTCGCTCAGATCTCGCCGCTCTGGAATCTCTGGCGTCCACACGAGATGACGATCACGGTACTTGGAGACGTGCTTGGTCATTTGCGCTCAGGCAGGTTGGTTCAGCCCGTGCGACCTGACTATCATCCCCAGGACGACCTTGGGGACTATGTCCGTAGTGTAGAGGATCTCAAGGCGCGGGCTGCGCAAGCAGGTAGGATACTGGGCCGGATATACGACAACTGTCCACAAACGGTGAAGTTGATCCGGGATCTCGAAGCTGTGAAGGATTCGCAGATGCGCAGAGCGAAATACAGGGGTTCACAGTAGAGCTACTAGGAGTGACAGACAGATTTGCTGCTGTTGTGCGGCGCCCTATCAGGAGGAACAAGAGCATAACTAGTGCGACAAGCAAAGCGGGCGAGTCCATGTCCGCGCATAGAAAGCGGAGGCTGTGGGATTCTTCTAGCTAGCTAGCTGGGATTACGCATCATCAGACTCATCACCGGAGACATCGGACCCACTACGCTGTCGCTTGCGGCTCTGCTTGGCTGAGCCATTGCGATTGCGCTATCCGAATCGTGATATATCAATGTGTAGGCTAGATTTGGACGGGATGCGGGATCGGCTTACGAGCGGCAGCTTCTGGCCTTGGTTGCCCAAGGCAATGGATAGGGCGGTGGTGTCTGGGTCACAGGATCTCTAGCTCCCATAGTGTACAGTTGAATAGAGATAGGCGAGCTCACCTGGTACACCTGGGAAGCGTTTTGCCGAGTACACGATGAATGGCTCAGTGAATGTCTGGGCGAGAATGGGCGACACGCCTGTGTGCACTTGAGTGGACCGTGTTTCGGGGGCTGGCGGTCTGTCCGGAGAGAGAATGGAAGGGCGCGTCAGTCAGGTAAATGTGCGCGAGCGGTAATCACGAGGGGCCCAGGCATGCTTACGCGCCAACATTCATGAGACGAAGCCTCAGACGGAAAGTGCCTGCGCAAAAGGCATAGTACGTGCCGGGAAAGTCACGATAAGCGGATCCCATGCGTACCGGAGGATTTGCAGGAAGGGACAAACCTTCGGTGCGGATAGAGAGGTCTTGAAAGAGAAAGAAGATTCCAGGCTTGCGGTGCTCGTCCAATAGACGGCAGGCGTTGGCGGATAAGGGCCCGACAAGCGTTCGAGTGTAAGTATGTCGAGGCAAAGGAGGAATGGTCGAAGGCGGTGTAGGATCCTGCCCATACTGGGCTTCTTGATATTGTGATGGTGGCGGCTGTTCTGACTGCTGTGGAGGGTAAGACGCGGGCGGGTGATAAGCCGAACCGTCTGGCGGCTGTTGTGGCATGGGAGGGTACGGATCCTGGGGGTATCTATTTTGAGCATACGTGTCGGCGGGGGAAGTGGGTGCCAGCGGGGCGTATGAATTGTCACGCATTTCAGAATTTGACGAAGAGCCCCGGAGGGAGGGATCGATCGTGGTGGAAGAATAGGAGGCCCCATTGTTGTCAATCGGAGGATAAGAACCCTCCTGCGGCCATGTGCGATACGAGATAGCTTCTGTGTCCTCTCTTCCTGGATTCTCGAGATGCCAGCCTTCTGCCGTGCCCGTCCCTGATCCTGAAGCGGAGTTATAACTTACGACTGGGGCAGGCCCGTTATTGGATGCTGAGCCGCTTCGGGCGGCGGAATGAATAGGAGGGAGGGCTGACGGCGGCGGATATTGAGAGACGCGTTCCATCGAAGTGGGCGGAGGTGGATACCCCCACCCAGGAGGGGCGTCAGATGATGTACTGTAGTTGCTCATGGGTTGCGACTGGTAGCCAGGTGATTCGGGTAGGGGCGCTGGCGCGTTAGGATAAGAGTACGCCTGAGAAGAGTACCCGGAGGTTGAAGGGGCCATGTACGGCGTTATCTCATTAGACTGCTGGAACGGCGTTTACAGGAACACGCAGAAGCGACTGCCATGCGAGACATACCTGTGAGTACTGCGCAGGGCTTGAAGCTGGTGCAGGAGCAGGAGCAGGCGCTGTTGCGGATGCTGGAGCTGGCGAGGGGCTTGGACGAGTAGGGCGCTGTGCGGAGGAACTAGCCGTGTTCGCGTTCGTTCCGCGCCGCTTTGATTTCGGAGTATTTGCCGGGACATATCGATCCGCCGATGTGGGATGGAGAACGAGATTCATCTCGCTCTTGCCGTCCCCTGACCAAAGGTCCACTGTTACCAGAAAAAAGGAAATGTCTATCTCGCTGGGGACCCATGAGAAGGGATCTGAACGATGGAACATGTACTTACTCGACATCGACTATGCTTCCATCCTCCCTCCGCACGACCATCTTTGCTACTGCCGCTGGAGCCAGGGGCCGTCTATCCTACAGACGTTCCCGTCATTAGCAGCCTGGTCAAGTGTAGTGGCTTGAGCCATTTGCGCACTTTATCGCCGAAACCGCACATGCGTGCACGGAGAGGATGCTGGACCACCTCGAGGGAGTAGTGTCTACAGGAGTCATTGGTGAAGGGTGCTCAAGACGACGGTCTGGGATAACTAGCGATTTGCAGGCTCACTTGCGACCGACCCAATGGCCCCATGACTGTGGAGGATCGTCCTGTCGGACTGGAGCCATGGTACTGCTCCCTGCTCGCGCGTTAGTCTTCTGTATCATTCCAGGTCGTTGTCGACGTCGAAGAATGGGCTGCGAGAGGTGGACGCGTCGTGATGAACGCGCGACGGCGTGCGCCTAGGTGACCGAGGGGGCTGAGACTCTGAGGACTTTGCAGCAGCAGTGGAGAATAAGCGTTAGGTCGCTAGTGGGTCGCTTGAATGAAATACCAGGCCGGCGGATGGGATCCGCTGTCCAGGATGCGGGAACTGATTGGAGAGGGGATCCAGAGGAGGGGGCACTTTGAGAGGCTGAAGCCGCGCGCTCGGTCTCAGCGCCAGATGCACCGTGTCTGTCGGCCTTGTAAGCAGTCACGCCCACGGCTCCCGCTGCTGCGTCAGACAGCGTGCGCCGGGAACTGGGCGGTGAGCTGGCTGCGGTGGGGGACGACGACGACGACGAGCAGACGAGTGGGGCGGCCGAGGACGGCCTCGCCGACGCTGAGTCCAAGACGCCCGTCGTATGCGCGTGCGAATTCCTGCCATGGTATTCCCACGCCCTCCTCCATCAGCACGCCGTTGCACACCGTACAACCAACACCCAGTGCACCCTCCCTCCGCCCTCGCCATGGACCAGGCCGTCGCCCGCAGGACCCTCCAAGAGCTCATCAAACGCGAAGACCTCGACAACAAGAAATGCATCGACTGCTCAAACCCAAACCCCCAGTGGGCTTCCCTTAGGTCAGGCTCTCTGTGCCTCACATCCTCGAGCCATCGTGCCAACACACCGCACTAGCTTCGCAGTCTTCCTTTGCTTGCAGTGTGCTGGCGTACACAGAGGATTCGGTGTCCATGTCAGGTGAGAGCCTACCCCGATCGCCGAAGCCCTCTCTCATCTCCCACCGGTCCCTGAAGCTTCGTCAGGTCCGTGTCCATGGACACATGGCATGAAGAACAGATCAGGCGCATGCAGGTCAGTCTCGGACACAATTCTATCCCACCTACCCGCTCAGCACCCGTCTCTCAAGCTCGGAGGGAACACACCGTTCCGTGAGTTCATGAATGCATATCCCGCCGAAGGTGGCTACAAGCTCGGTATGAACCCGTACGACTCATACCACTCCTGGGCAGCAACACAGTACCGCGAAAAGGTGTGACAATCCCTATTTATTATTATTATTTTTACGCATGAATGGATTCGTAACGTCTGTCGTAGCTTGACGCTGATCTTGCCGGCAAGCCATGGTCGCCTTCCTCCCCCGCGCTCGCTTCGACTCCCGGCGGTAATATACAGAGCCCTCCAGGGCGACCCTCGTCCGCGCAGGGCCTTCGAAAGTCGCGCGCATCTACACGCAGCAGCATGGCCCGCCCAGCTCGCAGCGACTCCGCGTCCCCCGCATCCTTCAGCAGTCGCAACTCACCCACACCTACCAGCCCTGTCAGCTCCACTCCCTTCCAGGACCAGAAAGCTGCAAACGAATCCTTCTTCGCCACCCTTGGCGAGGCGAATGCTGTGCGGCCAGACAACCTGCCCCCCTCCCAGGGCGGCCGCTACCAGGGCTTCGGCAGCACGCCCTCCCCACAGCCGGGGCAGCAGCACCCGGCGTACGGTCTCTCTTCACGTGCGGCGCCGTCACTCTCCGAACTACAGGAAAATCCTGGTGCAGCGCTGAGCAAGGGCTGGTCGTTGTTTTCTGCGGCGGTCGCTGGCGCGTCGCGTGCGGTCACGGAGAACGTCATCCAACCAGGCATGGAGAGGGTCATGGATCCGACCTTCCAGGCGAGCGTGCGCGGATATGTCTCAGAGGCGAGCAAGCGCGCGAGCGATGCGGGACGAACTGCGAACATGTGGGGGAAGGATAGGTTTGGCGTAGATGTTGCAGGGCAGGTGGGTGGAGTAGCGGGGGTGGTGAAGGATAAGGTGACGGGCGGCCCAGCGAGGAAAGGGTACAGTTCGGTGGCGCAGGGTGGGTACGCGGGCGAGACGTCTGCGCTTTACCAAGACAATGAGGACGATGAGGAGTTTTTCGATAGCTTTAGTGAGAGTACGGGTCACTCTACGAGCTTTGCGTCCGAGAGCCGCTCTACTGGGAACGCCACGGCGGCAAAGAAGCAAGACGACTGGGACGAGTGGAAGGACTTTTAGTCATACAGTTTTCGTACGTTGCATATTTATTCGCTAGTCGTTCTCGATTTACGTGGTCTCATGAGGACTGTCTGCGGCTGGTGTTTGTGATGACTTGGGGGCGTGCATCGTCGATGTCTGATTTTGAGTCCCCTCGATAACAGAACGCCAGACACAACCTATGACTTGGTGATTTAACCTGTGTCTCAGCTGCGTTGTATTTGAACAATAAACGGTGCCTGTCGTGGGCTCATGCACCTACGATCAGAATGTCAGGCGAGCTGTTCTACCCGCGAACTGTGTGCAGTCCCTGGTCTGGACCGTCCAAGATTATTATCCTGCAGGCACGCTATCTGCAGCAAGATGATGAAAGGATCTTATTTCCGCGTGCGACAGCAGCCGATCAGCAAACACTACACCTGCCATTCCTGGAAGTGTGGTCGTCGCGTACGCGCGGCAGAGCCGCACAGTGCTGTGACACTGCTCCGCGCAGCAACTCCGTCCATGTTCTCTTCCTCGATCCGTATGGCGCAGGATAACCCGTTCGAGTCGCTCCCTGTCGAGCTCATCGCCGATATCCTCGCCGAGCTCGACCTTTCGTCCCTCATCACCGTCTCCTATCTCTCCCACCGCCTCCGCGCAGTCGCCTCCGAGCCCTCCCTCAACCCCTGGCGCCGCCCTATCTTGCGCACCCTCCGCAGCCCGCTGCCTACGTATGACCCCGGTCTTAAGAACCTTAGCGTGCGCTCGGTGGTCCCCCGCCACAACTTTGTCGAGATCCTCGCCCTTGCGCGCGCGCATTACCTGCTCTTCGACGCGACGCTACCCAACCTGAAAGAGGGTGAATGGGAGGAATGCTTCCGCCGGCGGTTCCTCCCATCATGGACAAAGGCGAAGAAGGACGATATGCTGTGGAAGGAGGCGTTCATGAAGTCCGTCTGTATGTTACCATTTGTCACCTATGCCTGACCGCTCGAGTACAGGGTACTTTTCCGCGTATGGCACCGCATCAACACGTCCTGCACTGCAGACGAAGCGTGGACAAAGTACGCAGTGGTCATGCTGCGTTTCTCGCGCGTGGGCTTAAGCTTCGGCACTAGGTATTTGGTTCTCAACCGTAATGGCACCGCAAATCAACTTGATTCAGTATCTCGGAATTACAGCCCAATCACCATTTTTGAGCAGCTGAGGTAAATAGTTCCATTGGCGTCGTGCCATCTCCTTAGAGTTGTTCACCGGGGTCCCGTATAGGATACAAAGTGATCTGATGCATCTTCCTCCCAGTGTCCGGGTTTGTTTCTTCTCGCGTCCGATTGAGCGCCTGCATTCCTGACCCCTGCGACGTCTAGGTGCTAGTTGAGTTTGCCGACGTCCGTATATTAGCCTTTGGTGTTTTGAGTAAGCCCAAGACCATTTTCGGTGTCAACCCAAACGCTCGCCAGCTGCTACACCCGCCAGGGGTCGAGAATTTTCAGGTGGTGGATCATCCAGATATCGAAATCGCCTCTCAGTCGTCCGAGAGCGCGTCCGACATATCCATCGAGCGGTTGTATCCTTCGCGACGAGGTTCGCTGTGTCCCTGCTGCCCGGCAGGAACCATGCTTACGTGTATTGTACAGTCGGTCTGAATGATATCTATCAGCGCCTCACGCACCCCTTGCCTGTTCTTGCGTTCGAGAATTATCCTTTCTACACACCAGGTGGCGCAGATAAGCGGTGGTCGCGTTCTAGTGCCCTCGACCAGGGTGAGATGCAGTGGGTTGGCCCTATGCTGTGAGGTTTCTGCAATAAAAGATGTGAAGGTGATATACTAACAGTCGGTGTTCGCCAGAATCACCGCACAATTGGTCGGGGTTCACACAAAGGAGCTGTTCATTTCGCCACCGCAGCAAGATGGAGACCTTGTCGAAGGGCCAGGTCGCAGTCAATTTGCGTCAGCGACGTTTGCCGATCTTGTCGCGATTGCCCCTTGGTTGGAGCCGACGAAATGGATTGAGGGGGCGGGGCTGGGACACAACGACTGATGCGAGTGTGCTGGCTGTGGAGAGCAGCTATTGTATTGATGCTGACCGGGAGTAGACGATGGGCGATACGTTGTAGACGGACATCACAGCTGTATTCTAAGTTCTGGTAAAACATTTCTATGGTGATGCGCGTCGCATTGATGACCTGATTTCTGTTGCAGGCTTTCTGTGTGGTGTGACGGGCCGTGTTGTTCAAATATCAGGCGAATGCTGGGACAAGGGCCGCGAGGCTACGGGTCTCCTTGAGGGCGATCTGAGATGGGACTACTGTAAAAGGCAAGTGATGCGTATCTCGATGAGGGTCTTGTGTGTTAGCGCGGGAACGAAACATTAGCCGTGCCGCCGACCATCCGCTCATTTCGCTGGTAATTGTCTTCAACGCGCCCTAGTCTTTCCCCCCAGCTCCGCGCCCCCCGCCTTGCGCTCCGCAAAAACAATAGTCTCCCGCCTTGTCCCTCCATGTATGGATTTCCCTCCCTGGTGCAATCACCTTCAAAAACCGCCGTCTGTGGAAGACCATGCCACACCCTCCCCCACGCTCGTTTGCCACCTTACGAGCTGCGACGCCACCGGACTGCGGGCTCAGCCTGACGCTTTGATCCCTTCATTAGGCAACTTCCACTCTTTTACACAGCTTGGTCTGTGGCTTTGTGCGCGTCGTGACGCTTTGTTTCTCCTTGGATAATCTGGCTTTAGAACTGTGCTCAGGCCCCTTTTCAACAGTGCGGCGCGCTGGCTTTCTTTCACATTCCCCCCCGCTATAGCCCTCTTGGTACATCACTCGTGGTGTTCCCCTTTGTATCAGCTTCTGGATTGCCATCTTCCTCTTATAATCGTGACTCCAAACATGGCCCCATCGACTAGAGCCTCGCAGACATGGAATTGCAGTGTCTGTCAGCGCACGTTCTCCCGCAAGTATGAGCTGAATAGACACGAAGTCTCTCACGCGAATGTAAAGTGAGCGCCCTTCCTTTCATCATGGAAGCACACCCTCATGCTATTTACAGGCCGTTTGAGTGCAAGCATTGCCAAAAATGTTTCGCGCAGAAGACTGCGTTGCGAACGCATTATAACTCACAGTGTGTGCTCAATCCTTCTTTAGTCGGTTCTCGGGTAGGCTGATAGCTGTGCAGCACCAAACTCAAGCCACATCAATGTGTAAACTGTTCCATCTCCTTTGGTGATCCGTCCTCGCGCTCCCGCCATAGGCACGAGATGCACAGCGGTTTCCTGGGATACTTCTGTCCTGGCTGCTCAAGCAGGTATGTCGATTTTAGCACTCTTCTTCCTCCGCAGTTTTGCTGACCGCTCCTCAGCATGAAGCGCCCTAAAAACTTCAAGATCCACCTTGAGAAGTGCGATTATGTCACGAAATACAACGCCAATATCAGAGTTTATATGGTGTACGATGAGTCTTCCGAGGACTTCAAAGAGTACTTCAAAGATCGGAAGCCTCCCCGCGAGGCCCGGATCGTCGTGGGTAGCAGCAAGAAGGCCGTTATCGTCAACAACGTGCCGGTCGCCATTGACAGCTCGAGCCCTCCCGTCGCTATGCCGAGTCCCTCCGCCACGAAGAAGGCCCCCTCCATCACTGCGGAGTTGTCTTCGATCGGTCGGGCACGGCGCCTGAAGACCCTTCAGCGTGCTCATCCGTACAAGAAACCGCTTTCGAGTCGCAGAAGGGAGAGCGCGGAGGATATCAACCTCGCTGACATTCCAGCTGACGTTCTCCAGCAGTCGGCCGCCCACTCTTACACGATCCCAACTGCCGTGGCACCTCCGGTGCCCACCGAAGATGTATTTAATTACGTTCCGGTCGACTTCTCGTATAACGCTGCCGATGATGGTATTCTTGCTCAAGCCCACGCTCAAGTTCCGGACATGTTCCTCCCCGGCCCTGTCGCAGGCCCATCCAGCAACCCTGAAATTGCAGTAGGCTATGATTTAGGATTGCCTCCTTTCGACGTTCCACAGATCCCCAGCGGATCCTCGGTGATGATTCCCCCGCTTGTTTATGGGCAATGGGCGGGCGATGTTCCCTCTTATACCGACACTGGGGCCACTTACGAGGCCCCGATCTCGTCTCAATGGGACTATCAGAAATACAACACCCACTCAGACTATTTGTATGGTGCGTCCTGCTCTTCCCAGCCTGTCGATCCAGATGTGCTCATAAGGATATCACAGGTATTCACGGCACCCAAGTCACGCCCCACGACGACTACTCTGACCTTTTTGAAACGATTGCAACTACGCCCACAGAGGCGATCGACGCCGCTCTACAGAGTCTGAATACCCAGCCGCACTACTGGCCGTCGAACATACCCACTCTGCCAGCGAAGGAGGCGATATCTCCGTACTCCCCGTACTCTGACGCGCTCTCACCGCTGTCGGACTTGACCCCGTCGCCGGGCGGTACCAGCTACTCGAGTCCCGGCACCCCGGCTGACATGTTGTCTACCGTTGGGTCGCGTGGGCCGTCTCCCCAGAACGAAATGGCTTACTCCCTGTATCGCCCGCCCAGTAGCCGGCCACAATACAGTATCTGACCGTAGCGGACACTTTTTCTGATTGAAAGAATATTTTAGTCGCGCATGTATAATCACGTCTCATTGAACAGGTCTCATGTCTTATATCCCACGATTCCGTCCCGCACTGATACGTACTAGTTGTATCGTTACTCTCACACACCGCATGGATTTGCGAGCTCGTGTAGCATTTAATTGGGGGCGTTGTAGTCGGACAGTTTCCGTTGTACATTTTGTATACTTTGCATTCGGTGTTCTTGTAATACAATGGGCGCGCAGGTTTTCCCAGTTCTATGTTGGTCGATCTGAGTGGTCGCACCTGACCGCTGCAAACGCTTTGACGATCTTCTAGACTGGACGCCAAAATGTTTCTGCTCACTCGTCATCGAGGGCAGGGAATGCCGCGACGGCGCTCGTTTCGGTTCGAAGTCCGGAGGAGAGAAGGAGGACGCAAAGTCACGTGAAGAACAATCTCTCACCGCCACTTTCTTCGCCTTGATCTCATCTCCCCGCCCCACTCTGGCTCTCCGCCGTGTACTCTCCGGGCTGTTTCTTACACTCCCCCGACCCCCTCCTCTCTCTCTCATTCTCTCCGCGCATACTCCTCCATTCATGTTGGCTTCCCCTCTCGTACCCGCCTCTGGTTTCGCCGACGACACGGCGCAATACCGCCCCGCCAAAGACCTGGAGGCGTTCAAAAGTCTTCTTCCTCCCGCCATCGAGTTTGTGGAGGGCTCATCCTCGGGAACGTTCGCGACGGACGAGATCAAATACCAGCCCATCAACACGACTCCAAAGGCGAACAGAGCAGAGGTACGCGCACTCTTCGCGTCTCGAGCCCGGGCATCCTTAACCCACCCGCAGCCATCCGACTCGAGTATGAGGAAGGCGCTGCCATCCACCCCTACCAAAGCCTCCAAGTCCCCTCGCGCCCCGGCCGTGACGGACAAGCCTCTCTACACTGGTTCCCTCACCACTTCGTGGCCCTCGGGTACGACTGTTGGCTCCGGGCTGTATAACACCGGTAATACCTGCTTCCTCAACAGTGCATTGCAATGCTTGCTGCACACTCCTCCCTTGCTGCATGTCCTGATAGCACACAGCAAAGTTGATCCATGTATGCCCTTCTTTTTGCCCAACGTTTGGGTACGGCTGAGCTTGTTATCGTGGCATTCTAGGTCAGGTGCGGAAGGGCGCGTACTGTATGGCGTGCGGTCTTCGCTCCGTCATGTTCGACAGCCATCAGAAGCATCGCCAATTTTCTCCATCTCAGATTACTTCAAATATGCACGGTACGTGAGATATGGCGACTGAAACCTACATCGGTACTCACGGCTGTCGACAGTGATTGCGAAGCACATGCGACGAGGCCGGCAGGAGGATTCACATGAATTTCTTCGCTATGCTATTGATGCACTCCAGAAGGCATGTCTAGCTGGCTATCCACCGTGAGTATCGATCTCTATCTCGGTGGCAGTACGTGCTAACTGACCGGTGGGATGATAGAAAACTGGATCCCAAGCTAGCGGAGACAACATGGGTGCACAAAATTTTTGGGGGTCGATTGCGCTCACGAGTGACATGCCTGGATTGTGGACATAACAGTGACACGTTTGACAGTGTGCTGGACCTCAGTATCGATATTTTGGGTAGCAGTGGCCTGAAAGAAGCGCTCAGAAAATTTACCGCCGTCGACCATCTGAAGGGAGCGGATAAGTACAAGTGTGAAAAGTGAGTGGCAGTGCTTTGAGTGGAACGCGTTATCTGATCCCTTTCCTCTAGGTGCAAGAAGGCAGTTACAGCAGACAAGCAATTTACTGTTCACGATGCGCCACTCGTCTTAACCATACACCTTAAACGCTTCTCACCCATAGGAGGGAAGATTGGCCAGCCTGTCAAATATGACGAGCGATTATCACTGCAGTCTGTAATGAGCAGTGGGCAGCACGGTCCATCATACGTTCTCTACGCGGTCATATCCCACGCTGGCGGCGGTCCCAACTCGGGTCATTACTACGCGCATGTGAAAGGCTCTAATGGACAGTGGTACGAGATGAATGATGATTCCGTCACGCGTCATCCTGGAGCGCCAACAGGCATGAAGAACGCATATATATTGTTCTACATCAGAGATAAAGGTCAAGCGTTGGAGGCAGCAGTCAATGCCCCAGCAAAGATACTGAACAGAGACACGACACCAGCAAAGATGGGGATCGTCGCTAACATGAAGAAGCGCAAGGCGGTTGAGAGCGACGACGAATCTTCCCTGCGGCCCAAGTCGAAGACTTCCGCTCCTTTCATCGGCCCGCGGTTGCCTTCTCCAGTACCCGCTTCCACTGCCGACACTTCAAAGGCAAACGCGAATGCAATCGATCCGCAGGCAGAAGTGCTGAAGAAGAAAATTGCTGCAGTAGGACAGAGCCCGTCCAGTGCTCTGCTCTCCCTTGCTCAGTACGATGATGAGGACGACGAGGACATCGGTGAAAAGGTGAATGAGATGAAAACAACTACGCCTGACTCGGAACTTGTCCCCTCATCTCCTGTCATACCTCCATCGTCCAGCACCGCCTCATCTACGCAGGAAGTGCAATCGTCCACACCGCCGCCGTTAACTGCTTCCACGTCCACGCCGTCAGTCTTCACGACAATATCTACGAGCAGCTTTTACGGCACTAAGTCCAAAGGAAAAGATGAAAGCAACTCAAAGAAGCGCAAATCGCCCGAGCCCGATCCCGATGATCCGTCGATTTCGCAGTGGGCGCGGACACCCATCTCCCCTGGATTGTCGTTGTCAACCCCCACTGTTGGGCGGAGGCAATCGGGTGGCCGTTCTGGGGGAATCGGGAGTGGCAGTCCGTTCAATCGGATCAAGGGCAGCAACAACCTAGCCCAACGTCGAGACGCCGGCGGTCCGATTCAACAGTACGGACGGAAGAAGAGACTCATCATGTAGATCTTCATTCATTCATGGTCTACCGATTCGCGTGGGATGTGGAGGCGCCTGTAGGGTAATCCACTCACTTTCTTGCTCAGGCTTGCTTGATGTTGCCAAGTCACACATGCATCGTATCATACGGATACTGGTAATGCTGCATTGCTGCACTCACTGCCACTTGTTCTGCGTAGCTGCACACTAGACCAAGAAGAGCAAGCCGATCCGCTGTATATACACCCGTCCAAGCTCTAGCATAACTATAATTTGGACTTCAATTTCTGCTCGGGCTTGAACGTGTCCGCCTTTGCCTCGTTCTCTCGGCCGTCTTGCCACCAGACGACGGTCACGGTAATGTCGTCGCGGTAGCTCCTAGAGTGCGGGGCGGGAATGCTGACCAGCTGCCTCAGCATCTCCTCATCCCCTCTACCAAGCGCATTGCGGATGAGGTGCGTGCCGACGTTGTCGTCTACAAATGCCCAGGAGCCCTTCTCGGCGTCTTTACTGCGATGCTTGTTCTTACCGTTCATTGCCTGCGAATTGGAGCTCATTGGCACGAGACCTGGCAGGGAGGATTTGGGGATGGTGCCCTTGAGACCGGCGAGATGTCCGCCGACGAGCGCGACCACTTCCTCCGAGGATAGCTCGTCCCAGAGGCCGTCGGTGGCAAGTACAAGGAAGCGTAATGTGGATTTGGTTCCGGAAGGAGTTGGTTGATCGGGGCGAGAACGGAAGGGGAGCTCGCTTTGTACGACGAATGGCTGCGCGGTTACATATGGTGGTGTCTTGAGGAGAGACGGCGTTGAGCGCATGGGGTGATTGTTACCTTTCAAAAAGGCTTCGTTCAGGCTATCGGTGATCCGTGAGCAGCAATGTGGAGTGAAAGACGGGAGTGTCCTTACATCGCTTGAACCTCACGAGGCCATTTATACCGCGCGTCACCAAACGCACGGGTGGGCTCGAGGCCTCCAAGCACCCGTCCGCGCATGACGACAGTGTCGGCTTCGTCTGGAGGATGTTCTGACTGTATTCTGTTGGAGTAATTTCCTAGCGGTCAGCTTTGCTGCGATTATGCAGATGGCCATAGGCAGACCTCTTGACCTCAGCCGGGTTCCTGCCTGTCTGATCTTCACTGAGCGGCTGAACGCGCCATGTGCCCCGACCATCCTCAGCCTCCTCGTACACGCCAGCGACGGCGCGGCTATCGCCAGTGCATGCCACGTACAGATGCTGGCGTGCGGTGTCAAACATGGCCATTATGGCGCAGCTCCCTGCGGTGGGATTTAAGCTGGTGGATATTATATAGGAGCTTTCGACGGACCTGATAAAGCGGGAAGCATACTTGCCATAGCCATCGGATGCTGGCTGAGATCCGGAATCGCATTCTTTTGGATGTCCAGCTTGTCTATGTGTTCTGCCAATAGGCGGAGTGGCGCGTTGACAATTTCCGTGTCGAGGCGCAGAAAAGCGTCCTGGAAAGCGCGAGAGACGCGGGATGGATCGGCGTCGAATGGGGAGGGAGTGGCGGCGGACGGGTATATTAGCGACTTCAGCCATTCCATCATTCCGGTCGGTTGAGAGGTGGCACTAGAATCCTTCATGCGCTGGTAGAGTTCCAGGGTGATGGCGGGGATTAATACGTTAGATAACAGTTTGGATGTATGCGGACCACCGTGCCCGTCCATTACGGTGAAGAATAGGAAGTCTCCCGGTGAGGCGGGATCCGTGGGGTCTCTCGGGATGATTGCACTGGCGTGCGCATCCTCTATTGGGCTGTTGGATGCTAGGTGTGCGGTGGCGTGGTTCCATCGCATCCCGTCCGGCCTCGTCGTCGTCTGAGTGGCGGCGTGCTCGGAGAGACGGGCATTTGTTTGCTCCTTGGAAAGCAGAGGGAACGAGCGGGTCATGACGACCGATTTTCCATCCGGACCTCGTTCTCTAATGGAAAGATCGAACGTCTCCGAGCGCGACGAGTATCTGCGGTAGATATAACTGGGAACACCGACGAGGACAGCTGTACCGACAAGTGGTTTCCAGGCGCGCCGGAGCATCCTAGTGTCGGACCTGCGTGTTCTGAGAATTGTGATGATCCAGACTGCAAGGGACTACTGAGTGTGGTTATATAGCCGAGTCGCAGCGACGAAGTGAAGAGACTACGGCTGTTCGAGTTGATGCAGTGAGAAGCGATGATGGGTACGAACGAGCGAATTTTCAAGGGTGTCAGAGTGAATCGATTGTTGTGCGCATGCTCCCTAAGGTCTGAGTGTTCAGAATAACCTAGAGAATTTTGAGCTATTACAGTGCCATGAGCGGCTGTCGTACTTACACGCGTGGAGGTCAAGGAGAGGCCACACTCTCGGCGCGTCAAGACGCGCCTGAACGCGCTCATTATTTCGGTATTATTTCGGCAACGCGGCAGCAGCCGATCCGCGCTGCTGCTAATGAGAACATGATGGCAGATGCGGCCGGACGTGACTTTGCAAGCATCTGAGTCGACATTGTCTGTCTAGACCGCACCTGCTGCTACTTGTGAGGACACTCCAGATTGCAGAATCATCGTGAATTGCGCTCATACAGGGCCAATACTAATCTGACACGCGACAATGGCATACCCGCACCCCCATCGCGCCGCCAAACAACATGCCTACGGCTGCACCAAGCGTGAACGGACATCGATTCCTACTTGAATCTTGGCAAATCTTCGCTAGAGCATGCGCAAGGCCGTGCAGCCCGTGGCCCTGAAGCGGTGCACCAGGCACGCGTGCAACACGGACCCTTGTATTGAGTCAAAAGGCTTTTGTCTGCAAGGTTAGGATCTGCATACCACTCGACGGTGTTTGTTGAGGATTGACATACACACATGGGAGCCTCCATGTGCATGGCGAAACCGCAACCCGGCCGGACGGCGGGGAACTCGGGGAGCGCATCAGTGAATCCACAAAAGCCTAAAGGCGAAACGATCCGCCCGGGCGCTGTCAAAGATGGATCTCACAGACTCACATGGCGGTAGTCGCCAAGGCTGGCTTAACGAGCCTGTTGCGCATCGTTATAACATACACCGTATCCCTCTTGCCCGGGCCCGCCCTCTTTCTCGTCCTCTCCCTCCAAATACTTTCCTTCCACCATGTCCGCTTCGGGCGGCAATAATGTCGTTCTTGTCTCCGTCACCAGTTCCGACCTCTCTCTGGACAACAGCTGGAACTTCCTCAGTAGCGGGAGCGAGACCGTCGCCATTGCCACCAGCGCCGCATCTGGTTCCCTGAAATTCAGCGGTGGGTTTTGCTCATCAGACCTTTCTGAACTACAGTCTCGAGCTCTACAACATGCAGGCACACAGGTCGGGGTCTATGGTCTGCTCGCGCCTCAACAGCCTGTCATGTCTACATACAGCATAGATGGGTCGACGCCTTACACGTACACTACTCCCGCAGACGGGTCGAATGGAACCTCCCAAACCTCCTTCGGATTCTTCGTCTCACCTGAGCTCAATGCCGGTGAACATACCCTGGTGTTTAATGCAACCAATGCTACCGCGACCGCCGCGTTCACGGTCCAGTATCTTCTATACGTTACCAGCGTGAAACCGACAGGAAGTGGAGTCTCTATGACTTCTGGTTCCCTTGGCCCACAGTCAACAACAATCATCGTCACCGAGTCCGGAGGGTCAAGCACACCGGTTGGTCCCATAGTGGGCGGTGTGGTCGGTGGTGTGGCTGGTTTGGTGATTTTCGCCTTGCTGGGCTATTTTTTGTACATGAGACGCAGGAGAGGACAGGCGTACTTCTACCAATCAGCGGCTGTCAAGGATATGCTCGACAATGGTACGTGTCGAGCATGCTTGTCGACTTCCCTAGCTGATGTTCACGCAGAGGGTAAACCTATTGTTGAGCCATACCCCATCCAAGCTATCGTCGCTCCAAGCTTTCCTCAGCCCTCCGGCCATATGCCCAAGGGCTCTGTTACGAACATGTCTCCTCCAAGTGAGATCGGTCAGAGCAGTACTTATCGGCCCCAATCGATTCATGCGTCGTCTTCAGCGGCTGGCTCCTCCAGCGGGTCACGACCATCGCTTACTTTACATATGGCATCGGTGCCTGTGTTCTCATCTCCAAATCAGGCCAACAGCAAGGCAGCGGAGGCTGGTCTACTCTCTATTGCACAGCCTACCAATTACCACTCTGACTCTGGGATGCGATTCGGGGCTTCCGGGGAACCTTCGTCGTCAAGTAGACCTGCGCATGATGTACCGGTAGACGTTCCTCCTTCATATTCAGAGAATTGATGCGCGGCCAACACTAGTGAGCTTGGCCTCGGGATGTCGGTGTTTTGGACAATCGTGCCGATTCGATTGTATCAATATCCAGCTGTCGTCGTTACTTACTTTTCTTTGTAATACTGTATGTTGGGTCCTCTACCCACTGTTACGTTCATTTACTACTTATTCATACATCAGGCCGGGATCGCCTAGCGTCTGGGTCGCAGTCAGACTCACAAAGAAGCAGTGCGATGTTCTAGCCGATCAACACTTGGAACGGCGCCGGTGATGATATCTCAATTTGATCGCATTTTCGTGCCCGCACAACCCGCCACAACCCGGTGTGCGCGGAGTGGTGGACCTGGCGATGCATGCGGTAGTTTTGGGGCACCGACCGAGTATAATACTATCTCCCCAAAGATAATCGTGGCTCCTTCCCCCTTCCCCGGCGATGTCTAGCAGTGTCGATTTCGTTGCAGTCTTTCCGAATAACAAGACAATCGACTATCATGGCTCTTGGATCGAACGTTCGGGGGCCGGTACCAACTTGACCGGTAACCATACCGTCGCGTACGGCGAGGCTAGCGACGCATCGGCCGTGTTTGATTTCTATGGTGAGCTTTTCCATGCTTGTCGATGATTGCTGGATGATGCGAATTCTGCGCAGGGGTGGGCATCGCCGTATATGGTCTCGTCGAGCCCGGCTATGCGCCTGTGTCGTCTGCGTATACGTTAGACGGTGCCTCGTCTGCGACGTACACCTCGCCCTCCAATGTGACGTCGAATCAAGATGGCGTTATATTCTTCGAGTCGCCTCAGCTTGTGCAGGGGCAACACCAACTCGTGATTAACGTCACGAATGGTACAGCCACGAACCCGTACATGCTCACATTCCTTGGTTATCTGCCCTCGCTCAACATTTCGCAAACATCCGGGGGATCAACGCCTACTTCTTCTACGAGCAGCAGGTCGTCGACTTCGCCTGCTGGCGCCATTGTAGGAGGCGTCGTGGGTGGATTGGGTGGACTGGTGATCCTGAGCTTCCTCCTGTACTGGTTGATCAGTAGACATAGGAGGGGAATGCCATACTTCTATCGCTCGGCGTCGGCGACAGATATGCTGCACCACGGTATGTGTTTCAGATTCGCCAACGCGTGCTAGTGTCGTACTGATAACACCTGCGCGATACAGAAGCCAGGCCAGGAGACGCAGAGGCATTCGCTCCGGGGAACGCGTCGTCGATGTTCGACAATCCCGCGTCGCGATCTGCAACAGGGCTGCCGCATGCTTCGAGCGACGTCGCGGGCGAAAGTGCGCATGTGTCCGAGAGCGATGCAAGTCAACCACAAATGAGCTACGCGGCGTCCGCTGGGGGCTCTTCCACCTATCAGTTGATGCTACATGGGACAGCACAGCGACCGACCGCTCCCTTGGGGAAAGCAGCACGAGCTGCGATTAATAGCGGTAGGTTTGGACCGTCTTTGTCTCCTGGTCCTGTCGATGAGCATAGTGTGCCCTTGGACGTTCCACCATCGTATACGGAGACTTGATAGGATTTGGGACGGTGGCGGGGCCTTGCAGTGTTTATACGCATTTTTTTTTAATGTTAAATAGGCTTCGATATAGGAGCAGTAGTAGACAGACGGATCAATTAATGTTTGTTGTTCATGAAATAAATAAGGACAGCGGCTGCAGGATGAATTGGCTCACCAGGCGTGGGTGATCCGATCCGACCAAAATCGCGAACCGATCGGTTCACTTTTGGGCAGTCGCGTTATTGTTCGTCCGAATCGAGCACGCCACGGAGTGGCTCCTGCCACAAGCAAAGCAGCCTTCATGAAGCAGCGCTGACAGCGTCGTCCACGTTGAACTCGACCACATTAAAGCTTTTCTCACTACCCAAGACATTTGGTGTGAATCGTCCACCCCTTTCTTCACGTGCGACAAGAAAGCAACGGTCACTTCTATGCTTCAACATGCACACACACGACCAGACTTCTGAACGGCCATCGGCCGACACATTATCGACCACTGAAAAATCTTCAATGGTACAAGGAAGCAGTGAACTTGAGAGTGTCCTCAATGTGAGTAAGAAGTTATCTGATGATGAAAACAAGACATCCTCAAGGATCCACGTTGGTTATGTGAAGTCGCCGCGCCCACATAGAACTGTCCCAACGGACGCCAGGGCTACGAGTGAACGGCTACGCGATTTACTAGCCAGAAACAACATCAGGATACGCGATTTTGCGTACGAAAGTACCCTGCCGCCAATTCGGTCAGTGCCGCATATACCTGTCCAGGTGCAGCCTGGGCCTTTGAAGCGCACACGTGGGGAGTTCGAGGAGGGAGAGGGGGATGATCACGTTGGGCAGACGCTTTTCTTCGACGCAGAGACCGGAGGGACGACCGTTGGACTTCGACCGCCCAAGGAGAAGAAGCCGATTGAACGGACTCCAACTGAGCCCGCAGACGACCCCATTCCCGACGGGTCATTCCTGGTGCGTCGACCAGGCATTGCAGATTTGTCTCGTAGAGACTGGGATCCCTTTGGCGGACCCTTATATCGACCACAAACTCCTGTGAGGCGACTGAGTCCCGTCGCCACACGCTCGATGCAGGCTCAAGATGGACGCGAACCTCTGTCCCCCTCGCAGACGTGCAACCAGGGAACGTCGCAAGAGTCGGAACCGTGGATCGACACACCCCTGGTGACCCCCAGCAGCTCTCGCGCTTGGCCCATCGTCGACAGTAGCGCAATACCCGCTTCCCAGATGGACTCGCCCTCGCGGCTACCCCCACCAGAGGATGTGACATATGCTCAGCTAGGATTTTCTCCGGCTCGCTCATCAAGCAACACGCCATCCTCGCCGCTCCCGGCTCTGAACCTTCATATAGGTGCCACCCGAACCTCCAGTCCCCCCCGGACTACCCCTCTTTCTCGTTCATCAAGCCAGCGCATCACAAACCCCTCTCCAGTACAGACACGATCCCGCAGCGCATCGCCGAAGAAGCGGCGGATCG